TTTTTTTTTTTTTCCCCTTCTTCCTTTTGACTTTGGAAAATAATACAGCCACTGACAGTAGTGTACCGAATAACATGGTAAAATCCTGACCGTTGATTAATTTTAACTTAATATTAATCAACGGTCAGGATTTTATTATATCATTCGATACACAAATTTAGTACACTACTATCTGTGCCTGTAGCATTACTCTTTTAACTTTTCCCTATTTCAAATAGTCCGCTGAACTGTTTTAAGTTTTAACTACTTCAATGTTCTTTAACCGAATTACCTTTTTCCATTATACCTTTGAAATACTGTCATTTCTGGTATAAAGCTTTGAATCCCATCTCATCCATCTTAAGAAACCTGGAATCTTGGTTCTTAAACATCACATATTAGATAACATATTTATGATATTTCTCATTTCCACAAATTCTAATACCGTCATCGTATCTTAGAAGAGTAAAGACTTTCCTACCCAAATAATGTTTAACTGCACTTTCTCACCCATAGACTTTTAAAATATCATTTTACTATTTAAATTTTTATTCTGTTTCCGATTTCGATATCGTTGCTACCCCACATTACCACCATTCTCTTCTCCGATCACCACTCACCAAAACCCCTCAAACCCTACTCCCGCCGACCTCACCAATCACTGACAATTGAGTGATCAGGGTTTGCACAGCCACCCCTCCCAAGTCAAATTCTGATCGATCCCAACCACCAAAATCCAATATTCCATTACCAAAAGACTCATCGGCCTTCCTTCTTTAAAAACCCCAATAGTCTGAACTGAGTTTGCTCTCTGTTCGTCGTCGGAATATAAATTTTGGTAGTAAAATTATACTTTAAAAGTCTGTATGTAGGAAAGAGTCATTAAACCATTATTTGGGTGAGAAAAAGTCATTAACTCTATTTTAGAATATTACTATTAGCTCTTTAATAGGTGGTATTAGACAACACTATATACAAAACGAAATTTAACTATCTTTATCCTTAAACTATACTGTGCGAAACCGAAAAGAATACAGTTTAATGAACTCAAAATTAACCCATACCAAGGAGTGGGTTTACTTGCATCTTTGAACCGTATTAATTTAACGATTACACATTTACTCGAGTTCTAAAATATCATTGTTTTAGCTGATTATTTGTTGTCCTTGTTCTAACATTAACCATTACACTAATCTGTAAACTCATAATCATTGGTTTAGTGAAAATATAGAGAAACAGAACCTTGGAGAAGTCCGAATCTTACCCTAAAAATCAAACTACAAATGATCAAATTTGATACCCAAGTTGAAAGGAATGGAGTTGATGACAGCTCAAATTTGCAAAAGAAGAAAAGAACAGAAAGAAAGAAGAAACTACAATAGTTAAAACCTATAAGCCATAGAATGGTTTCTGTTGAAAGCAAGGCTTTAAGTTTAACAGGAGGTGAATGTGAACTCCAAGGAAAAAACTAGCAATCAAGCCTAGCATTTACAGATTAGAAAAAAAGAAAAAAAAAAATGATGTATAATTGAAGCATGATAAAGAAAGACACTTTCATCGTTAATCTCGAAAGCCGAAAAGTAACTCTCCACCATGCCATCACGCTTTCCTTCTGCAGCCCTTAGTTTCATTCCCAAGAAAACAAAAGTTTACACAGTAGTTTTGAAAAGACACAAAGTGGAAATGTTTTGGTGGTGTCAAATTCAATTCCATGTCAATGTAATAGCATTTTTGTCTGCCTCTGTCTCGTTTGCCAATTCCCACTTTACTTCTAGAGCCATGAAGCACAAGTATGGATAAGCTAAACTAGAACATGTTTAATTACTGTGTATGATGTTTACCTGATGCGAGTTTGTTTGTGTTTTGGCCTTTGATTTCCAGGGAATTGGACGAATTCCTTCTGTTTCAACTCTTTTTATCACCCACTCATTGTAAAGTGGGAAACAGCACAACCTGATTAAGTGATAAAATATGTTAAATAATGGAGAATTATTAACTGAACTAAGCTAATGTAGGATTAAAAATTGCGTAATTCCAGGGAATTTACCACAGACAAAGACAAATAGCCGTCATGACTCATGCATTTGTGTGTCCAATCTCTGAGCTCTAGAATTTTGCATACAAAACCACGTAAACTTGTTCTCATTTGATAAAACACCAAGTTTTCAGCCGTAATGCATCAACTCCTGTGTCTTGATTTTGACTGAAAGCATTACTTAAAAAACTCTTTCTGAATATTTATCTTTATCTCTTCACTCAACTTTGGATCCAACAAGCAACAGTCATTTTGATTTATCACCTAATCAACATTCAGAAAGCTGCAGATTTGGTTTGCAATCTCCATTTGAAAATCCAAGTCCCAAAAAGTTAATTAACCTTTCAGGATTTGTAAAGGGAGAAATGGGAATTCTTGGTGTCTACATGATAACATTTTTTAACTAGAAAAAGGTACTATTTCAGGCAATTCATATCTCATTTTTAGAGCCCAGTTTGTAATGATGATGATTAGGTCTTTATTTAAAGTGTTGTTTATTAATAATCTATAATCAAAAGAGCCCTTTTAAGGCATAAATTAGGAAAGGTTACCAAAATTGAGAATGACAATGTAGGCCACAAAGGAGACCGAGAAGAGACTAACTTTTTAACTAAAGTCAGAAATGTCCCCAGCCACAACAAAAAGAACATCCAGCTCTCTCATGATTGTTATAAAGAGTTAAATTTCGACTTCTTATCCTAAACAAACAAGTTCCATAGAAAGAGCACTAGTGAAATATCATTCACACAGAGAAAAGAAAAAGCTGAGGACAATGACAGGATTTGGCTCTTCATGCGGAGCATGCAAATTTCTGAGAAGAAGATGCACAAATGATTGTATCTTTGCCCCTTACTTCTGCTATGAACAAGCTGCATCCCATTTTGCAGCAGTCCATAAAGTGTTTGGTGCAAGCAATGTCTCTAAGCTATTATTTCACTTACCAGTTCACAACCGAAGTGATGCTGCAATCACCATTTCTTACGAGGCATTGGCTCGAATGCGAGATCCTATCTACGGCTGTGTCGCCCAGATTTTCGCCCTCCAGCAACAGGTTTCTGAAAATCCTGTGATATCAAATGTATCAGTGTTTCTTCTCTAACAAGTAAATCCTGAAATGCGGAACATGAATGCTTATAGATTAATTATTTATTTTTCCCTGCAGGTAGCTAGCTTACAAGAGGAAATAGAACTTCTTGGAAATCATATGGCGGCTAATCAAACGGTTGGTGTTGCTAGTAGTGGAAGTTCACAAGCACCTAATGAATTAACATGCAGTCAGTCATACTTTTCTCCATATCCAGATGCCATGAACACACCTTACTATCAGAATCAACAGGCTGAAGCTGGACAGCTAAATCATGGAGGAAACATAAATGCGACTCAAGCTTTTGATACCCAAATGAACGTACAGATTCCTTCCATAAACGGATGGGAAGAACAAAACATTCTTCGTGAGTCTAGCCCTGATTATTTACAGAGATTCCTGGAAGAAATGGACCAACAGAATTTTGCATATTATCCATGGTTGGACACAAGTGGCGATGCCACAAATTAAGAGGTCCGGCGTGGAAGCAAGATTAGCTGAGAGCTCCACATGAAAACAAGTTACGTACTCTCTGATAATGTCACCTTCACAGAGTAAATATCTCAATTTTGTTCCTCAAAAGTACTGTAAGACTTATTTTGGTGGCACCATATAAATAATAGGTTGATGTGATAAATACATTACATATGTCAAAACAATTGTCATATCAATTGGGGTGCAAAATTGGCTTGATTTACTTGTAATGTCTAGTATTATTATATTTTTCGCATTATCCATTTTGTTATATTAACCTGTAAATTACCTTGATTCTCCCTATGAAGATGTTTGCTTATTTTTAAATTCAGCTGTCATAGAAGCATCCTTGCCTCCTTAAATAGCCTTGCCATGCATATATTTATTCACTCAAGGATATCAATATTACTTCAAAGTCAACACCTCATTTGGTGTGTTCATGCCATGAGTATAATTTAAAGAGTGGTGCCTTCGTGCATGATTATTAACATTTAGAGAAGTTTCAATGGTTTATAATGGGCAACTTAATGATCTCCAAAGTATTATTTCAGAGCCTTAATAAGAGTTTAGAAATGTGATTTCCATCGAGTCATCGAGTATTCATGGCCACGCAAGCAAACTATATCACAAAGATGGTCAAAAGAAATGTGATTGCCATTCCAAAGTGAACATAAAGAACATGAAAATTTGATGCCCACTTCCATTCATCTTTTATATATAATTTAGCAAACAAAATTAAGAAAAAAAAAAAAAAAAAAATTAAAACCTTGGACATTTCCTGAAAATAGGTTAAATCGGAGAGTTGAGCTAAATACAACTCACTTCATCTCTATAGTCCTTGTGTTTTTATTTATCGATGCTGTATTATCAGACAATGAAGGCAGAAACCAAACCAGCTCATGAACACCATTCTCTGGCATTTTGGAACATCTTTAACCATGGGCTTGGACCTTTCTTATCCACAGTCCAGTCCTTCGGATACCATGGGAATTGCCACATCAAGAAGCAACGCTCTGGATGCGGCATCATGGCAAGATGTCTTCCATCAGGTGAACAAATTGCTGCCACTCCTAAGGGAGAGCCATTAACATTAAATGGGTAAGCTTCGGTAGGATTCCCATCATCGTCACAGTATCTTACTGGGGCCAAATCTGAGTGAATAACACGATCCAGAACACCATCATCGGGGAAATATGCTCGCCCCTCACCATGGGCCGTCCATACACCCAATGTACTACCTTCCATTCCTTTGAACATCATAGCCGGTGAGTCCTTTATTGACACACTTGTGAAGCGGCATTCAAAACGACCAGATTCATTGTGAACGAACCTTGGTTGTGATGGGTCTCCACCAGCACCATGCACACCCCCAACTTGAGGCCCAGGAACCCAACCCAATAGAGCCATGAGCTGACACCCATTGCAAACACCAAGACTAAAAGTGTCTGACCGCTTATAGAACTCCTGGAACTGATTTAGAAGTGGTTGGTTGAATCGAATGGAAGCAGACCAACCTTTTGCAGAATCAAGAACATCAGCATAGCTAAAACCCCCTACAAACACAATTCCACGGAAGTCCTGAAGAGAGATAGCACCATTAAGGAGATCTGACATTGTAACATCCCATGGTTCGAAACCAGCAGCATAAAAAGCTGCTGACATTTCTCTGTCCCCATTGCTACCTTCCTCTCGAATGACAGCTACTTTTGGTTTTGAAGTTGCAGTCATGTACTTCTCATCTGTAAAGGAAGGTGTGAAGGACAATTCCCAAGAAGGTTCATGCCTAGACTTCAATCCTTCTTTTTCTGATTCCACACAATAAGCCAATCTTTGGAACTTTTCCAGCTCGAAACTGGTTTCCTCCCACATGTCTCTTACTAAAGAAGTTTTCTCATTCAGATGAGTTACCCTATCAACATTCAATTCTATCATGGGTAAGCCAGTCACCTGTCCAATGATCTCAGCAGAAACACCAGCACCATTGAGTCTTTTCAATACAGTATCCAAGTTTGTCTTGCTCACCTCAAGAACAAGACCAAGCTCTTCTGCAAACAGTGTATGGAAGAGGCTGTGTCCTTTTGACTTCAAGTTCAATGTAACCCCACAGTTCCCAGCAAATGCCATTTCCAGTGCACAGACCAAAAGCCCACCATCACTGATATCATGACCAGCAGATATAAGTTCATCTGCAAGAAGGTCCTGAACACCGTCAAATACCCTTTTAAGGTAAGGAACATCTTCAATATCAGGAGACTCGTCTCCAACTTGGTCGAACACCTGAGCAAGAGCAGATCCACCCAACCGGCGCTTCCCCTTCGCCAAATCAATGTGAAGTAAAACACCATCATCTCCTAGTTTCAAATCTGGGGTCACTGTTTTTGTTATGTCAGGACATGTGACATAGACACTAATAACAAGATTTCCAGGAGCTTTAACAACCTCTCCACCTGCATGGGCTGCCATGGAAAGACTGTCCTTTCCCCCATCAATCGCAATACCAAGTTCTATCATAGCTTCTGAAAGAGCTGTTGCAGCATCATACATAGCTGCTCCTTCCCCGTCAAGCTTGGCAGCATACATCCAATTACCACTCGCTTTAACATCAGAGAGAGAAGTAACCTTCGCCCAAACAAGATTTGTAAGTGCTTCTCCAACCGCTAATCTTGCCATTGCTTTTGGATTAAGCAAGCCCTTGATTGGCTGCTCCCCAATGGCACATGCACCTCCAGTCAAATCAGTATACGTCTGAGCAATGACAGCAACATCAGCAAGAGTGATTTGCAAGGGGCCAACAGTTTGCTGCTGTGCTACAAGCCCTGTCACACACCTATCCACCTTTGTCGTTAAGAATCGCTTAGAACAGACAGATGGAAGTCTCAATACCCTCTTCAGTGAATCCGTCACTGTAATCCCAGGAGCAATATCAAGTGGCTCCCGAGCCTGGTCAAACCGAGAAAATTCAAAGGTTTTTTGAGGCATGTCCCCAAGTACTTTCTCAAGCTCAAGATCCACAGCAGGAGGAGGGGGAGGAAGTCCACTTGACTGACACTTTTGAATAGCTAAGCTATCAACTAATACAACACGTCCCTGACCACTAATGCTTCCAATAACAGCCATTGAAACTCTCTCTCTTTCACAGATCGATTGTAACAAATTGCGGCTTTCAGGCTTCACCAGGATTGCATCTTGCTCCTGATATTCTGCACCCCATATTTCTAAAACAGACATAGTGTGATCACCAACTACAACAGCTCGTATATCAATCTCAGCACCCTTAGGGTATATGATTTCCTTCACAACATTACAGTTCCCACCAGCTCCTTGATCATGAATGCTTATAATTGGGTTATTCTCTCCCATTTCAATGCATGCACGAACAACACGATATAATTTCTGTGCCATCTCAGCATCTCCACGCTGTACTGCATTAAAATCAAGATCTGCATCATTCTGCCCACTAACCATGCTAGATGCTGCTCCACCACCCATTCCAATACGATATGCAGGACCCCCAATCTTCACAACCAACATTCCAATGTCAGGCTCTCCTTTTGATATATGTGTATGATCAATCTGGCCAATGCCTCCGCTGAACATAATTGGCTTCAACCATTCCCGCCTTTCCCCACTTGGGAGTCTCATTCCAAAACTTCGAGTGTAACCCTGAATCAATGGCTCTCCAAATTTGTTACCATAGTCTGATGCGCCATTACTAGCATCAATAAGGATTTGAAGAGGGGAAGCCAAGTTTGATGGATATTTGAAAGATGGATCTTCCCAAGGAGCATAAGACCCCTCTATATTGAGGTTCCCAACACAGTAACCAACTGTAGATGCAACAACAAAAGATCCCCTTCCTGTGGCATGAGTATCCCTGATTCGACCCCCTGCACCTGTCTCTGCACCAGGATAAGGTGCCACAGCACATGGGAAATTGTGGGTCTCTGCTGTAAACAGAATATCAAGGTCACAAGTACTTGCAGTTAATGGACAAGTTGAACCAGGTTGGACTGGTCGCAATTGCTTGGCTGGGAAGCCCTTGATTGCACTTGAGTTATCCTTGAAACCAATGACAGAATTGTTTGGGTTTGCCAGCAAGGTGCTCTTCACAATCTGCATAAGAGTCCTATCCATAGGTTTTCCATCGATGACAATCTTCCCAGTGAAAAACCAGTGCCTGCTGTGCTCACTATTAGATTGTGCAATATCAAACAATTCAACTGTTGATGGATTCCGTTTAATGTCATCCCTAAAGAGCCTGGTGTAATACTGCAAATCTTGCTCATCAAATGCCAAACCCATCTCCTGATTGATTTCCTCCAACGCCTTCCTGCCCTTCTCCATCACAGGCACATATCTGACTTCCTCGGGAACCACACTGGTCTTGAATGATGTCAGCTTCTGGACATAAACACACTCAGTCATTCGATCATGAACCATTGCTGCAAAATCATTGATCTGATTATCTTGCAGAGCTCCCTTACTATACAACAAGTATCTCCTAGACCTCTCTAAACGAATCACCTCTGTTAACCCACATGCCCGACATATTGATACAGCATTAGCAGACCATGCAGTAGTAAATGATAACCTAGGCCCAACCTCAATTATTACAGATTTCAACCCTTCTTGTCTCTTCTTCTCAAGAAAGCTCTCAGCCCCCAAATTCTCTGGCTCATACGTTTCTTGAAGAAGCCACTTCAAGACTCCAAGCTTCTCGCTCGAAATACTTGAATCAAGACCAATATTAAAACACTGTTCTGTTTTCAAGCCAACAATCTGGTTCGAAATCTTTGTTTGAACTGACTTGAGAAGCTCAGCTGTTGCACTATCTTGAAGCAATGGAACACGATAAAAATGAACAACCTCTTCAGCGGGCTGTTCCACCAATCTTGTTTGTTCATCTATGGAACTGCTAACATTCCCAGAAACAAGAGCTCTGGGCCTTGATTGAGCACAACATTTCAATGAAAAGCCTCTTCTATTAGATACACCAA